CTCGCGGTTCCCGTGACTTTCAGCTTCGGCGGAGACGACTTGCATCTGCCGCTAACCTACTTTACGGGTGTCCCAGTCACGCCCACCAGCTTCAATTGGATGCTTTGGATAGTTACCCCATTTCTCTTGGTGGCCACGGCATCCTCCTGGTTTGTTGCTTTGAAATGGGGCCGTCCTACCTTTGCTGCAGGGGTGCCAGTCTTGTCTCGGATGGCTTTCAGGTTGCCCCGTCGGCGCGAATCGGATGCAGTCGAGCAAGGAGAAGCTATTACCTCTGTCCCCGCGCAAGAACCTACACAGTTGCTTATAACCTTGAATAGGCCGGCCCCGGACCTTCCTGCAGTATGGGGCCCGGGAGAAGAAGTAGGTATCGAAATAAGCCTGTCTGATGAGGGGGGAGCGCCCCTTCCCTGGCATTCAATTGGATATCAGGATCCCAGCGGCAATGCTCTCGAAGTCGAGGCAGACCAGCAGGGAAGTTTCAGATCTGCCTGGTTGGCCGAATTGTTGGGCGAATACACTGTTTCGGCAACCTTTGTTGGAAGCCAGGTCTACGAAGCTTCATCTGGGTCGCAGGACTTCAGAATAGTCGACTTTCGTGAGGAGATCGTAAGGCTCTATCAGGACTTCCTGGAGTGGGCTGAAATTCAGGCGCCGGGTGCTTTGGGTCTGACTCCCAGAGAGGTGGAATCGAAGCTGGTCGCAACCGGCCGGCCCCTGGACTACAGGGCCCTGGATGAGATCATTTCCCGTTTCGAAGAGGCCGACTACAGTCAACATGACATAACCCGAGAGCAATACGAAATCATGTTCAGGTCGTGGTACAAACTGAGAGAGGAATAGGGAAATGGAACGATTTCCCAGAGCAGGGCTTCGCCAGGGATTTCCCGCCCTGTTGGTCGTGATGGTTGCTTCTTTGTCGTTTCCCTTGCTCTCGCCTGAAGGGTGGGTATTTCGTCAGTCGTTGCTCCATCTCCATTACCTGTCCCCCTGGATTGTTGCTATCTGTTTCTTCTTCATGATTGGCCGGGTGGCGATAATTTTCCACGAAGTTCTGTTGCACCGCCTGGCAACTATGGTGGCACAGACAGGCGAAGATGCCGAATCGGGAGACCCATGGGGGATTAGCAAGAGAGCAAAGTGGGCCGCTGCCTGCCATTCTCTGGCGGAAGGTTTGGCCTTGACCCTGATAGCTGTTGCCTTGATTGTTGCCGTAACCAACCTTTCGGCCATCTTATCCGTCCGAGAGATAGGCTCTGCCCTGCCAAGGATAGAACCGTATTTAGAGGTTTTCGGTTCGCTCCTTTTTTGGACACTGCCAGTTCTGACCATTTTCGCCATAGGTCGGGCCGCGAAAGAACTCTGGCCCGCATACCGAAATGCGTGGGAATTGCCCCGCCGTCGGTTGATAGTGTTGGCTGTTCTATACCTATTGCTGGCAGATAACGGACTGCTCACGCTCATATTCGGCTTTTCATCAGGCTTGCTATTGCCGGTACTGTCACTGGCTGTTGCACTACCTTTCGTCTCTTCGCTGGTTCGACAGGGTGCTACGGTAGCGCCTCCTCACTGGGCCAATTTGGCAACACGGGTGATTCTGCCAATTTTGGGATGTGCTGAGGTAGCTTTATTTCTGGGAGTAATGGTCGCTCTTCCGGGCGGTATTGGCCGTATTCCCCTGGAGCGCTATGGCGCCGCGTTGGAAACCTTTGGTCCAAGCATTCAGATTTTCGATACACTCTCCTTTTGGTCTGTGGTTCTTTTGGTGCCATTTGTTCTGGCCAGGGTAGTCGCTGCATTTCGGCCAGCAGTGGGGGAGGTGTTGGGTTTCCCGATCGGCCGATTGAATCTCTTCGCATTGGCGCTGATTCTCTTTTCCGGAAATGGTGTGCTGACAGTTGCTATTGGGCTCGAGCTTTCCCACGTGCTGGTGGCGGTGGGGATGGCTCTGTTACTGTCATACTTGGTATTGGTCCTTCGAAGGGTCTCAGGCATGGGACTTCCTGAAAGAGTAGTTTCCCTTCTGGTAAATATCTTGCCTTTGGTGGTTTCCTTTGCTGTTGCGGTTAGCATTTCCTTGGTTGCCTGGGCAGTGATGGGGGCTTTACCTTCAATAATTGCCCTGATTCTCGACAATGACTGGACAACTCGATTTGGGGAGGCCTTCCTGCCAGTGTTTGCGAGCCTCTTTGAAGCCAGAGTAGTATTCACCGGATTCACATTTGCCTTTGCCTTTACTGTTGGATTGCCGAATCCCTTGTGGTCTCCCGCCAGGTGGCACGTTCGACCTGCGCTAGCCTGCCTGGGATTCTCCGCGGCTGGTTGTCTCTCCTGGATGGCCGGGGGGTGCAGATTTCAGAATTGGGCCATGCCTATACATTGGCAGGTGCGACTGTTGGAATGGGTCTAGTACTACAACGACGCGTTTAAGGTGGTGGCTCCATCCTGCCTTCACGGCGGGCGGAGCGGCGTCTCTGGTGGGAGCGGCGCGCCCGCTCGTTGCGTAGCTGCGTATCCTCCAGCCACAGCAGCAACTCCTCCGGCCCGAACCGTTCCCGGGGCAGCATCTCCCGCACCACCCGGTACACCTGGGGACGGGTGATCCGGGGCATCTTTTTCCCCCCAAGCCTGCTGCAGGCCCAGCAGGAAAGCTCCACCCAGCAGGCACATGGCTATGTGGTGATGCCAGCCCGCCCAACTGCGGGTCTCGTATTCGTCCAGCCCCACGTCGCCCTTCTCCGTCTCGAACTCCGTTTCAATGGGCCACCTGGAACCCCCCACGCAGGCCAGGGTCTCCAAGGTTGTGTCCTCAGGAGCGTTGGACAGGTAGTAGCGGGGCTCGCTGCCGTCCAGGTTCCGGCGGTAGACGGCCCATGCCTCATGGCCCGGCTTGCCCTTTCGGGTTACCCGCACCCGCTGGGCGCAGAACATATAGCTCCGCGGCCCCTGGCTTCCCTGGGCCACCGTTATCTCCCGCCAGGCCTCATCCAGCAACTCGTCACTGCGCTGCTCCATGGTACGACGCTGCCCGTCCCTGAGCCTGGGCTTGCGGGGGCGCCCGAACCCCTGAGACCTCGGAGTGGTCCAGGCCGACTCCCACGAAGGCTCCAGGGGCCAGACCGGAGTGCTGCCCGGAACGTCCAGCACGTAGCGCATCCCCAGGGCCGCCAGTCCCTCCCGAAAGGTCGGCGACATCCCGAAGGCGTCGTCTCCGGCAACCCATCCGGCCTTGAGGTGGCCCAACCCCAGGGCCCGCTCCAGCAGTTCCAAGGCCAACTCCGTCTTCGACCGGTAGCTCCGCCGCTCCTCGGGCACCCCCGCCGCCGCACAGCGGCCCGGATCCGAGGTCCAACTCTCGGGCAGATACAGCCCTTTGTCCACCAATGCCCGCCCCAGCGGGCTGACGTAGGCCAGGAACATCCCACCCTGGCAGTTGGCCACCTTGCCCAGCCTCCCGCAGTACTGCCGGGCTACCCCCACGGACTTCCTCCCCTGCTTGGGAAAGTCGCTGCCGTCCAACACCCACACCGCCTCGGGGTGAGCCAGCCTGGGGGCCAGGTATTCCTGCAGCCGACCGATCACTGTCGCATCGTCCCACCGGGCCTCGGTCAGAAAACGCTGCATCGCCCGGGCCGAGATGCCCACCGATTCCGACAGGTTCTCGGCGTTGCGCCGCTCCCCAGCCTGCACCAGCAGCCCCTGAAGATAGTTCCGGCTGTGCTCCCGCCACTGCTTGCGCCGAAGGAGGCCGCAAAGAAGGCGTGAAAGTCCTGAAAGTTGTCGTAAACCCGCTCGAAGCTCGCCCCATCCATCACCCAAACCACCCACTATCATCTTGACAACTATCCTACCCGATAACCCGTCGTTGTAGTACTAGTGGCGTTAGGTCTGTCTCAACTGGCTGCCTATGCCGTTAACTCTTCAGGATCTGCTCTTTCCGGGGCCGCCGGCTGGCTCAGAGGTTCCAGCCAGCGCCCGTTTTGGATCGGTGCAACTATCGCCTGCTATGCAATGCTTCTCCGTCCATTGATCTACGAAACTCTTTGGTTTGCTGAAATCTATGAATGGCTTGTCTTTCTGGCCTTAACTCTATTAGCCCTACTTAAGATTCGCGGCGGATTTAGGTCTTACGTGGTAGCTTCAGAGGCCGTTCTTCCTACCTGGACTCGTTGGCATCGCCACCAGCAAGAGTTCGTAGACCGTCCTGATCCACGTCAGAAACTGGTTGCCAGGTGGCATCAGCGTTTCGTAGAGCACGGCGAATGGGCCGGACTCTGGTCCTACTTGATGGAACTGCTTTACAGAAACGGTTCGGCTCCGGAGTCGGTGGCTTCGGTGATTCGCCCTCTTCGGGGCTCACTCGCCACAAGGGCAAGCAAGCTGCCCTGGAGTCGAGGTGAGCAGCGTGACCGGCGTCGAAGGGAGTTGGCGCTTGCTGAATCTCTTAAGAATGCGGAAACCGTTTTGTCAAACCCGCCGGGGACAGTCCGAAGTTCTCGTTCCTCGCTGGAAGGGGTTGCTGAGGAATTTATTGAGACAGGCGCCGATCCCGAGACAATGGCGGCCCTATTGATCGACGACTACCAAAGGCGTGGTGCAGAGCTTGCCCATGCGGTGAATCTCTGGTTTCCCCTGGTCGACTTTTTCGATGCGCCGATTCGATGGTTTGATCCACTGTGGGTTCGTGGGAGGAAGCGAAACGACTCCCGAGACAGGCGCCGGAGGCTGGTGGAGAGTGCAATCGATCACCTATCGGGTCGGACTCTTTTGAGTCCTTGCCGGTTGCAGTGGCGGCACGGCCACTGTTGTTTTCCCTAATTCCTCGACTAATGCCCCGCTGGGCCCGTCGGGCGTAATTTCTTCGGGACAATCTTTCGAGCTATTGCGGGAGCAGGCCAGTTCATACCAGGTCCGGTTCGGCCGTAACGTGCAGGGATTCATCCCGAAATCTGCGTTGCGGCTTCAGCCCATTTTGCCCGGTGACAAGGTGTAATTAGCTTATGAACGAACGGACCTTTGAAGAGGCCAGGCAGACCTGTGACCATATTATTGACAGAGTCGGTGACGTTTTTGTGGGCAACCGGCTGTTGTTGCGTAAACTGCTGGCTGCGGCGTTGGCCAACGGCCACGTCCTTTTTGAGGATTACCCTGGGCTGGGCAAGACTCTCTTGGCCAAGGTGTTTTCCCGCGCAATAGGCAGCGACACCAAGCGAGTTCAGTTCACCCCGGACCTGCTGCCCTCCGACATTCTGGGAGTAAACGTGTGGCGCCAGAACGAAGGAGTATTTCAATTAGTTAGGGGTCCGGTCTTTACTAACGTGTTGCTGGCAGACGAGATTAATCGAGCTCCTCCCAAGACCCAAGCTGCCTTGCTGGAGGCGATGGAAGAAAGGCAGGTCACCATTGATGGTGAGACTATGTTCCTGGGCCATCCCTTCGTTGTTATTGCCACCCAGAATCCCATCGAGCAGGAAGGAACCTACCCCCTGCCGGAGGCCCAATTGGACAGGTTCCTGTTCAAGCTGGGCACCGGGTATCCGGCCAACCGGGAAATGGAAAATGACATCCTTCTTCGCAGAATTCAATGGCAAAAGGACGACCCCACCGACGACATGGAGCCGGCCATTGACGTGGAGGGTTTTCTGAAGCTTCAGGAGATGGTGGAAACTTCAATCTACGTAGACCACGTCATAGTAGATTACATAACTCAGTTGGTCAGGGAAACTCGGGACCATCCTCGGGTTGCCGTGGGAGTTAGTCCTCGCGGCAGTTTGGCCTTGCTCAGGGTGTCCCGCAGCCTGGCTCTCATTCACGGCCGGGACTTTGTGGTACCTGACGACGTAAAAATGGTAGTCAATGACGTATTGGCGCACCGCATCATTCTAAATATTGAAGATATTTTGGAAGGAGTACGCCCGGAGTCAATTGTGGAAGAAATATTGGAGCAAGTGCCGGCACCTACCGAATTGGCGAGAAGGACTCCCTAGCCATGTTCCCCTTCTCTCTCATGGGTTGGGTCGGCCTTTGCCTGCTTTTTCTGGCATTGGGTCTGTTCCTTGGCAATATTGTTCTGCTGGCCGGTGCGTTATTTCTCCTGCTTACCGTTTTGCTGGCCACCATGCTGCAACCCCCCGAAAAGATCGAGGCACATAGGAAATTGCCCCGGGAAATCTGCTGGGCGGGCGACGATATGGAGGTGGAACGAAAGTTGACCCTTGCCGGAGGGACTGGGGCAGTATTCGTGCACGACTCGCTTCCAGCGGAAATAGAAGTGGTGGAGGGCAATAACTTTCATCTCCTCTGGAAATGGCGTGGTTACCGCGAATTTAACCTTTCATATAGAGTTCGCTTCGACAAGAGAGAAGAACTTATCCTTCCGCCGACGACCTGGACATCCCAGGCCCCCTTTGGGATACGGCGACGCAGTACAGCTCTTGTTGGACCCGCTATAACCGTATCTGTTGTGCCCAGAATCCGCGGCATCACGCGACTCAACGAGATTCGCGTTGCCACCAAACAGCCTCGCTATCAGGACGATCTCTCCCAGACTGGAACTGCCAACTCTGAGTTTCGTGAATTGCGACCTTATGCCCCGGGCGACCCAATTAAACTCATCAATTGGAAGGCCAGTTCCCGAGGGGCGCGCAGCGACAACCTGCCCCTGGTGAACGTACTGGAGCCGGAAGGGCGGAAGGCTGTCTGGATCTTCATGGACGTGGCCGATTATATGGATGTTGGAATGCCCTTGGACAGTCCGATGGAGAATACTGTTGAAGCGGCTGGGAGCCTGGCCCAGTTTTTCCTGTCGAAGGGGTCTACGATTGGGGCCTACGCCTACAATAGCTATGGTGGCCAAGGAGAATAGCTGGCGCCCGACTCAGGACGAAAGCAGTTCAACGATTGACCCAGATGCTGGTTGGCCTGCAACCGGGCCGGCCCAGTGAAGACCTGCTGCAGGCCGTGGAGTGGTGCAAGGGTTTCTTGCTGCGCCTGCAACCGGAAGTTTTCATAATCACACGTCTTGATGTCTTCTACCCCAGGCCGGGGGAGAGCAGCGAATCCCTCGAACGGTTTACTGCCGCGGTTAGAAGGTTGACCGCCCTAAGGAGGCGAGCCCGGCGTCCCGGACGGGTCAGGGTGATTCACGTCAGTCCCAGGAAAGCTGCTTCGGATGCCGGATCAACCCTAAACTCCACCAATGAAGAGTCAGGGTTATCCTTGTGGGAAGGCCGCGCCCTGGGAACTGATATGCGCAAGTCGGGGGCTGAGGTCATTTTGTGGGAACCGGCCAGGGAAGACTTTATCACGGCCCTGGTGCGGCACATGCACGCCTACAGGTAATCGGATGAGAGATATTTGGCTTGCAGCGCTGTTGGCATTGGAGACAATCCTCTTGTTCGCCATTGTGGCGCTATCCCTGTGGGGGGTGTCGGTGGCTATAGTAGCCGGAGGAGAACCGCTTTCATCGTGGACTGGGGGCCTGGCAGAGAATCTGGCCGGCTTCGGTTCGATTGAACTGGTCCTGGCGGCAGCGGCCCTGGCCGTCCTTTACTGGGGACTGCAATTTGTTGGCCGTGACCGGCTGGCATTTTGGTTGATCACTCCTTTGGCCTTGGTTAGCCAATTTCCTGGCATCTGGACGCACAACCTGCTGGAGTGGCAGCGGTTCTTCGGCCTGTCTTTCTCATTCAATGTTGACCAGTCCCTCTATATTGTATCGGCACAATTCCTGGCCAGCCTGGCAGGACTTGTTTGCCTCCGCCGGATTTCCAACCTTAGACGGCTGGGGTCTCTAATTAGCTCCCTTAAAATAGACGTGAGTGAACGAAATCGGGTTCTATTGAATGAGGGAGTGGTCCTGGCAGGAACGGTTGTTGCAGCTCTGGTGATAGCCACTGCTGCGTTGGCGGCTAATGCGCTCTTGGGCCGCACCGAAACACTGATGGAAAGGATCCCGCTGGCAGTGATTACCCTTGGCGGCGGGGCCACACTGCTGCTGATATGCTTTGTCGCCCTGTTCCGCAGAAGCCTGGATACGAGATGAGTGAAGGCCAAGGACCATCGAGCGAGAGGCTCACCGCAACGCAAGACTTCTGCGCTAGGGACGAATGCCTCGCCCATGTGGTCTTGAGACCAGCGAGGGCTAATGGGCAGAAGTAACGTTTGCCATTTCTTCGGCAGACACGGTCAACAAGGGTATTAATTCTCGAACGTCGGCAACTTGCTCCAGGCTGTTCACTCGATCAATAATCGCTTCTGTCTTCGATCTACCCAGGACCGGCGTCAATAACAAGCGGGTCTTGGAGTTGACATCCTCCGTTGACATCGGGTTTTCCTTGGTGCCGTAGGCATGGGGAGTAAAGTGCTCTACCGTGCGCCCGTCCGTCAATGTGGCGGCCACCTTTCCGCTGCGGGGGGCCGCCCGGTCCATCAACTCATCATCAGGAATCAGCGTAACTCTTTCCTTGACGGCCAAGGTCGCCGGATCGGACATCCGCTCGTACGCGTGAGTGGATTCAAAGGTTACCTCGCCGTCCATCAGGCTACGGCGATCATATGCTGGCAATTGACGTCGGGCATTGACCGGTTATTGACCACGCCGGCACCGTCCCTTGGCAGCCTCACGACAATGCTCTTCACATTGTCGACGGTCAAACCGTGTTGCCGGTGCAAGGCAAAGAAAGCGTCCAAGGCGGCCTGGATTGGATACCCCACGGAATAGGGTTTTATGGCGGTCTCGGTTATGAAGTAACGGTTTCCCAAACCCATAACCATTTCATCCGGGCGAGGGTCAAGGGAAAGGGCCTGCAGCACGTTGTGTTCTCCCTCCAGTATATCCCAAACCCCGGTAAGGCCGGCCTCGGCCATAGTTGCCGCGGTAACCCCGTTCCGTGCGCCCATGCCGGCAAAGTCGAATGCTTTTTCCACGTGTTCAGCGTCGCGAACCCAGCTCCAAACACCGGATACCTGCTGGGCTGCATAAGAGAGTGCATAGCGCATGCCGGCCTCATCCAGCCCTGCGATGCACGCGGCCGACCCGACACTGCCCATAGTTGAACTGGTCCCTTCCGCGCTACGGTGCCCTCCCCTGACTGAATCCGGCTCCAGGGCCAGCAAAAAGCGGCAGCATAGATCGTAACCCAGCGCTACTGCCCGCAATAGGTCTTCCCCTGGGCTTCCCGCTCTTTCTGCCATGGCTAGCGCCGCCGGCACCACTGAACAGCCAGGGTGGGACTTCGTTACAGGCTCGAAATCGTCAGTCTCGTCAGCGTGTCCGAACATACCGTTGGCCAATGCCGCATTAACCGCAGATGTTTTTATGTCGGTCGCCAGCACGGAAGATTCAGGGGTACCGCCTTGTAGACGGATGTACTTGATAGCCATTTCCCCGGGCTTAAGTCGAGCGCCCGAGACAATTGCGCCCAAAGTGTCCAATATTCGGTGCCTGCCCGCCAGTGCGACATCGGCCGGCAACTCATGGCGCCTGGCTTCTGCCATGTACCGCGCCAGCTGTCCGGTAATCTCAGGGGTAGTCACTGATATGCACCTCTACGCTATTCCAGGTGTGCAAGACCGGCCGTTCAGGCCGGGGGGTAGATTCTCTTTTTGGAGGCTGCCGCGATTAAATCAGAAAAGCTCTGCCCAATTAGGCTAACCGTGAGTCCGAAAGTGGTAATAGAGACCAAAAAGTGAGGACACCACTATGGCGCCCACTGCGCCCCCGAAATGGGTAATATTGACCCTGGTGTCCCTCGCCCCCATATAGCTTGCGTCGGTAAAGATATTCCAGTAGGAGTTGCCAATGGCGCTGCCCGCTATCCCTGCAGCCAATACCAATAATACGGTTCCGCCAACTATATACCAACGATGGTCCAGGTTTATCCAGGCTATGTACGCCCCAATACCCGCTCCCAAACCAATCCCGATAACATAAATACTCAGATGAATATTTGCTCCCCAGGGATAGCCCACCATGGCGTTTAAGGTTAACGCGGCCCACCCCCCAACAATTCCAAGAATCATTCCGACGAAGAAACCGGCAATGATTCGGCCTATAGGAATTATGTAGGTATAGATACCGCCTTCTGCCACCATGACTGATAATTTCATTCTGTCCGTCCTAAAGGTTTTACTTTCTATCGAAAGCTCCGAAAAACTACTTGCCATGCTTCAATAGTGGTTTCATAAACCAAAGGCACAGCCCATGCTTTATGAAACCATAGCTTCAGACACGCAAGCTCAAGAGGTTTGTGTAGTTCAGTACAAGTATTTTGTGTAGTTCAGTACAAGTATATGGTACTAGGAATTTCCAGTTACGCAATACACCGTATTGTTAAAACCCAACCAAGCGCATCTAGAGGGCGGGGCTTTTCGGAGTGGGATTGCCCATCGGGGAAGTGAAAAAGAAGAGAATTCCCCCATTTCCGCTCATTTCCGTTCACCGACAGTGTGCCAACAGATACACGGAAGAGAGGTGAAGGCAAAAACCGTTTTCCCCGCCATTTCCACTCATTTGCAGCTGCCAGCGGGTAGCCAATATAGAGGAGGAGCTGGCTGGATTACTAAGACCATAGTAAGAGGAGGTAACAGGGGCTGGCCAATGACCGTTGTCACGGGACTCGGCGCTGCTCGTTTGTCCACAATGCGCTTGGAAGAAGCGCTGGCACACGAATATTCGAGAATGTTCACCAGAGAGAATTCGAACGCGACGGCGCTGTTTCACAAACACTCTGGCCCGTTTCCAGGATCGGGTAGAGCCTGGCCTTAATTGCGTTCACATACAGCGGAGAGGGTGGCGGATTGTATCCAGATTCCACTTACCCAATCATTCGAAAATATGTCTATAAAGTTATCCGGAGCCCCACGCGCCACAAAGCATCGTTATCCTGAGGAGTGGGAGGAACATAAGCTTTCATTGACAAAACACAAGCCACCCTGTATACAATTTCAGAATCTTGTCGCCAACTGGCAATCCGGTTTGAATGGAAATCGAAGGGAATATTTGAGGTAAATTCACAGCTTGGTTTAACGGGCTAATTGCACTGGGCGCCAGAAAGGCATAGACAATTTCATCATAGAGGAGGCACTTGGATCATGAGACTTACCTTTGGGACTGTTTGGCGAAGATATTCGCTGATTATTGCAGTTTTAGTCACTACTCTAGCCGTGGCTTGCGGCGCTTCGGAGGAGCCTACGCAAGCGCCGCCCCCCCAGGCGGCTGCAGAGTCTGAACAGGCGGCGGCTGCTCCGGCACAGCCCACAGAAGCTCCCGCTGTTCCTACCGATGCGCGGGCTCTTACGGACACTCGGCAGTTTGAATCCACTCCCATTCCTGAGCCGGCAATGGCAGCCGGTACAGCTACGCCGGTTCCCACGCCTACCCCCGGCGCCGCATTTACGGCCAAGGACACCATCTACCTGGTGACCCAAGAAGAGCCTACCTCCCTGGGAACATTTAACGATGCCTGCAGTGGCAACGTGCCGTCAATGATTTGCGAGGAGATTGCCACCGACCCCTTCACGTGGATTGACAGCAACACCTTTGAAGTTGTGCCGCTTAGTGGGGTGGACAGCTGGTCTCAGGTAGACCCCGAGCGATGGCGCTTCAACTTGCGAGAAGGTGTTGCTTTCCACAATGGTGAAGCATGGAACGCCGAGGCCGTGGCCTGGAACCTGGACCAAAATGGCAGGCCGGACATTGGAGGAGGTTACAGCTTCCACGGAAAGATTGGCGGTGAGGTTGTTGACGAGCTAACTGTGGATGTAGTCTGCGAGAAAGCTTGCCCTATATTCCCACGTACAGCTATTTTTACAGTTTTTCAGGCTCCTGAGTGGTACCAGAATGCTAGCGAAGCCGATAGGCAACTGAACACTATCGGCATCGGCCCCTACAAGATCGTAGAATGGCAGGGGGGCATCCAAGTGGAAATAGAGGCCTACGAAAACTACAAGCCAAATTCTGCCTTTGACGCGCAAGCCCCGTCTATCCAGAAGGCTTTCCAAGTCTGGCGCCCAGAGCCTTTGGTTAGGGCTGCCATGATACAGGCCGGCGAGGCCGACTTGGCTGTAGACATTGGGTTCGAGAATATAGATTCCGTACCGGTGGCCAAGAGTGGTACCAACAATGAGGTGTTCACCCTGGTGGCCGATAACATTTGGCACCCGGAATTGAAGAAGAAGGACGTCCGCAGGGCCCTGGCTCTCGGCGTAGATTGCCAGTCCCTGATGGAGTTCCTCTATGACGGTTTGCAGGAATGCATCGGCAACATTTCCCAGTGGGGCACGGTGGGCATAAACGAGAGCAACTATGCTGATTACGGGTTTGACCCTGACTTGTCCCGAGAACTGCTGGCTTCATCGGGTTACTACAAGCCCGAATACGATCAGGAAGACAACAATTTCGATGTGAATGAAGAGATACGCATTCATACTCGGGCCGCCCGCGTCTATCGCGGACTGGAAATGTTTGAATCGATTGGTGCTAGCTGGCGTGACCTGGGTGTAAATGCGCATGTTGTAGTGCTCGAGCCTAGCCGCGCCACTGAGGTTCGTCGTTCTGGCTGCGGCAAATTCATAGAGATTGCTGAAGACGGAACTCAGGATCGCACCGGGGCCCTGGCCTGCGCAGAACAGACCCCGCCGCCGCCATTTGGTGCAACTACTCACTTCTATGAGACGGCCACCTCCAACGAGGCACTGGATATGCAGCGTCAGTTGGTGCTCCGTAACAGCTGCTTCAACGTCAACAGCCGGGTCTGTAACCTGGTTCCCGGCTTCGATGGTCTCACCTTTGAGGAAAGCATCGACGACGCGATAGCGACTCCCTTGGGTCCGGAAAGGGTCCGAAAAATGGAGCACTTGGCCCAGAAAATCCATGACGAGCATTGGTTCCTGCCTTTCTTCGTGTCTGTCCAGGTTTACGGTCTGGCAGAGAATCTGGAATGGGAACCACGTTACGACCCGCGAACCCGTGTTAACTCCATGAGGTTCACTCAGTAATTCGACCTGAGGTTTAAAGGTTAGCGCCCCGGGATTGCAGAATTGAATCTATATCCCGGGGCGCTTCCCACTCCATAGTAGTTTGACTTGAAGAATATGGAGCCTTTAGGGGAGCAATTGAGAGTGCGTTGACGAAAACAGGGTTCCACCTTCGTTACGTGTGAGACTGGCACTCCCTGTATTCCGTGATTTGCGACATCATATCTCTCAAATTGGCCGGCAGGTATGCGCTGTTCTTTCCTTGCTGTTGGTTGGTTGTTTGTTCATATGGAACAACTTAATCTCTTGAAATACTTAATATTTATTGACAAATACGAGCAGCCGTTGTTTAATCGTCCCAATCTTTCACACTATTGGCGGGGTATAATTCGACGTATCACCCTTCGCCAATGAAAGACCAAGTTTCTTAGCGCTTTCGATCGTTCTGTAGATCAAGTTAGCAATTTTTCTCGTAGAAACGTAGTACTTCAGAATCCTGCACGAGTTGATAGGTGCCATTAGGGATAACGGGCTATCTTTTAGTTACAGCGAAGAGTCTGGGCACATAGGGCTATGACCCTTTGATAGCAGACCCGCTGCATGTAGTCGGCCAAGGTGTGAGGAAAAGGCGAAACTGTTGCCTGGCCAGCGCGAATCTTCGGTTCATTAGGCTTAAGACCACGATACCGCTCTCTTGGAGGGGAATGTGCGTAACTACATGATTCGTCGAATCGGCCACTCGATATTCATTGTGGCTGGCCTTATGGGGTTGCTCTTTCTGGCCATCAATGTTCTGGGGGATCCGGTTGAATTGATGGTTGACGAGGACGCGTCGCAAGAGACCATTGACGCCCTCCGCACAAAGTTTGGTCTGGACCGGCCACTCTATATTCGATTCGCGGATTTTTATTGGGACCTGGTGCGTGGGGACTTCGGGAAGTCTCTACGCCATCGCATTGATGCACGGGAGATGATCTTTGACCGGTTGCCCAATACGGCGGCATTGGCCATAGTGGCCTGGATCATAGGAAGCACTGGCATTCCGCTGGGCATGCTGGCGGCTAGACGGCCCAGAGGATTCATTGATCGCATTGTCAACATACTATCTTTTGCGGTCATCTCGGTGCCCCAGTTCTGGCTGGCGCTGATGCTCATTCTGTTGGTATCCGTTCAATTTGATCTCCTGCCCACTTCCGGTTTCAAGGGTTTGGGCCCAGAGGGTTGGAAGTACATGGTTCTGCCTGCCATGGCTTTGTGTCCGCTGGTGATGGGGCGGAACGCCCAGATAACCCGTTCCACGATGATTGAGGAAATTGCCAAGCAGTACGTTGCTACGGCTCGTTCCAAGGGGTTAGGAGAAACGAGCATTCTCTATGGGCATGTTCTTAAGAACGCCTCGATTTCCATTGTTACCCTTATGGGCGATGAATTAGCCGGTTTCATGAACGGGTCTACGGTAGTTGAGATTATTTTCGGCTGGCCCGGCATTGGCAAGCTGTTGATCGACGGTATTAACGCGCGGGACCTGCCGATCGTTACGTCCTCTGTGTTCGTAATTGCACTGATGGTCATGGTGATTAACCTAGGGGTAGACTTGTTTTACACTTGGCTGGACCCGAGAATTTCGTACAGTTAGCCTTTTCGGGCCCCGGTCGCCTCTCATACATCGTGCTGTGAGGTTGCCGGTGGGAACAAATAGACTTGATACCCATTCTGCTTTGAGGACTTTGTTCTGATATGCAAAGCGATATTTCAATCGTAACTCAGAAGCCTAATCCAATAGTCGCCATTTGGCATAATGCTTTGGTTCAGGCGTTCTTGAACGACCCGATAACTCTTCTCTCGGCGTTGTTCCTTTTTATCATGGTGATGGCGGCCTTGTTCGCGCCCTTGGTAGCTCCTTACGATCCGCAGAACCAACAGTTAAGGTTGCGCCATCAGGGTCCACTTGCGGTCGGTACTGCTACCTATCGGGTCAACAGCCAGACTGTCGAAGAGCAGCGCTTCTTCCTCCTGGGAACTGACCACCTGGGTCGGGACTACCTGAGCCGGCTCATTTACGGCGGCAGGATATCGATATCTGTGGGTCTGCTGGGAGTATTAGTCTCCAGTGTAATCGGCGTTTTTCTGGGGATTACTGCGGGATATTATCGGGGCATTCTGGACGATGTTATTATGAGGGCGGTGGACATCTTCATGTCTGTGCCCTTATTATTGCTGGCCCTTATGGTGTTATTCATCCTGGGGCCAAGTTTCACCAATATCATCATTGTGTTTGCGATTGCCCGCTGGATGCTATTCTGTCGCGTTACCAGGGGAGTGGTACTTTCCCTGCGTGAACAAGCCTTCGTCGATGCAGCCCGTGCGATAGGCGCGAGCGACAGCCGGATCATTGGTCGCCATGTGCTGCCAAACCTGATCACACCTCTATTGACCTTGGCGGCTCTGGAAGTACCGCGAAACATTCTGACCGAGTCCACCTTGAGTTTCCTGGGTTTCGGCATTCAGCCTCCCGAATCCTCCTGGGGCCTGATGCTTTCTCAGGGCCGCGACTACATCGTTACCGCTTGGTGGGTGGTGGTCGTACCGGGAGCAGCCATTTTCCTGACTGCGCTTTCCTTCAATCTCTTTGGAGTCTGGATGCGGGCTGTGAGCGACCCCTTACAGCGGTGGCGCTGGCTCAAGGCGACTAAGGAAGCCAAGGACGCAGGTGTAGGCTGATAACCGCCTGCAACCTCGATGGGTAGTGAAAATTGTGGCCCCCGACCTCTTTAAGAGGTCGGGGGCTTTTACTTTTGAGACCAAATGCACCATAATAGCGGCAATTCGTAGATGCACGTGGACCCGTGCGTCTGAGTCTGATTAGGGAGGCTATTGATGGAGAGAGTAACCATTAGGGAGGCTTCCCAAAGATTGCGGATCTCAACTGCACAAGTGCGAGAGTGCATTCGTGGCGGAGAGTTGCAAGCTTTTCGTGAGGAAGGCTCTGAAGGCCAAGGAGGTTGGGTGGTTGAGCTACCCGACGACGGGTGGATCAGTGCCGCAACTACCATGGAGTTAAACCGAGAGTTTTCTCCTTGGTGGTGGGGTACCGCGGACAAGACCGGATATATTCACTACGTCGAGTCGCTTTCCGCTTCGTCTTGGGAGGAAACGGTCCCCCAGTTCCTTTGTGGAGAGGTTGGCGACAACATCTGGGCTGCCACTGACCTGCTCCAGGAATTGCTTTGCCTGGAGTGCCAGATGCGGGCCATGGAACAGGGACTGCCCAAAGCCAACCCATAGCCTACACAATGGCGCTGGCGAAGAAGTTTTTCTATTGCCAGTTTGACTAGCAGACTAATTCGTTGCAAAAATGACGGGGGACAGGTTATCTACCTGTCCCCTACTTTTTTCGACCACGGGACCCGACCAGCGGGTACTACCGACCTATTCAAGAAAGAATGTCTTTAAGGTTTCGTAAGTTACATCCGGCAACTCTTCCGCAATGTAATGACCTGAGGGTACGGAGTGCCCCCTGACGTTTGTGGAGTAGTCGCTCCAAACGGCCAATACATCCTGGGTCCTGCCAACGTATCCCCGGTCGCTCCACAACGCCAGGTGCGGGCATGTTATCTTGCTTTCGAAGTCCTCATCGTCGTGAACCAGATCGATGCTGGCGCCCGCCCGATAGTCCTCACACATTGCATGGATCGAGTCCGGGTCGGTTGAGCACCTTACGTACTCTTCCAGGGCCTCGGAAGGGAATATGCTCTCCCAACTCGGGAAGCGCTGAAAACTGGACCGAATGAAGAAATCGGCCCCTGCGCCAATCACTCGCTCAGGGAAATCGTAAGGTTGGATGAGAAAAAACCAGTGGTACGTGTTGGAAGCCATTTCTTTGTTGACGATCTGGAACATTCGGTGGGTCGGAATAATGTCGAGGGTTGCGAGTTTCCTGATCCGCTCCGGGTAGTCTTTGGTCAGGCGGTGTGACACCCGGGCCCCTCGGTCGTGTCCGGCCAGGAAGAACGTGTCAAAACCCAGGTTCTCCATCGCTTCCGCCTGGTCTCTGGCCATGGCTCGCTTTGAATAATTAATGTGTTCGGAGTCCCCGGCAGGCTTGTCGCTGTCTCCATATCCCCTCAGGTCAGCTGCCACTACTGTAAAATCCTCGGAGAGACGAGGAGCTACCTTGTGCCACATAGTGTGGGTCTGGGGGTAGCCGTGAAGCAGCAGCAAAGCCGGGCCACTGCCCCCCCACAACAAGGTTGATGGCCGCCCCACTTGTTTCGACTTTTCTACGTTCAAATCCTTCGAACATCGCTCCTCCATTTATTGGCGCCCTTTTAGCCATCCTAAACTAAAGCCAAGGTGAAATGCGCATATGGTGGGGGGCAAACGACGGAGCCGGGTCATTCTCCAAGTACGGACGAGAGGGATTCACCGGCGCAACCCAGTTGATCATCCTCGCCACTTAAATGCACATCCCACCGTGGCTTTAGTTTAGTTAGTTCGAATCACCCAGGGGTGCTACAACCCAGGGTGCTACAAAGGGTTTCCCTTGTCGGTGAACTGGAGTATAGAATACACGACACGCTGCAACCGCGGAGAATATCCACTAATTTCCAGAAAGAGGAAGACCCTATTTAAGGAGGATACAGGATGCCTGCGCTTGAAACAGTCTTGGGCCCAATAGAAGCAGAGAGTCTTGGACTTACCCTCAGTCATGAGCACGTCGGAACGAACGCCGCCGGTCTGCGCCATACCTATCCGGAAATCATTGACCGACAGGGAATAGTAGAGCAATCGACCGCGGCCCTGAAAGAAGCCTGCGAGGAAGCAGGGTTGCGAACCATCATTGATGTGAGCACCTTCGACCTTGGGCGGGACGTTGAAATGATTGCAGAAGTGTCGAGGCAAAGTGGTGTAAACATAGTTGTAGCCACTGGAAATCACCTGGCAGTGCCCAGGCCTTTTGGCGAGGTTTCTCCCGACGCAATAGCGCCTATGTACGTACGGGAAATCGAAGAAGGCATTGAAGGTACCGGTGTCAAAGCCGCGGTTATCAAAGTGGCTAGCGACCGGGGCGGAATTACTCCACCCCAGGAAGTTGTGCTCCGGGCCGCCGCTCGAGCTCACCTCCAAACCGGCGCCCCGATTTCTACCCATACCTGGTCTCCTGATCGCGTGGGTGACCAGCAAGTAGCTATCCTGGAAGAGGAAGGCGTCGATCTTAGTCGGGTTTACATCGGCCACAGCAATGACGACACGGACATGGACTACCTGCTGGGCCTGCTGAACAAAGGGGTTTGGTTAGGTCTGGACCGGTATCCCGGCGGCAGAGTTCCAGGCACGCCGGACTGGGAACGAAGAACCGAGGTGGCCAAGAAGTTGATGGATGCTGGCTTCACCGGGCGAATCATGCTTTCCCATGACTATTCCGTACCCAAGGCGCGCCACGGAGCCGAAGTGCAAGAGGAGCGTCGTCGTGCGAATCCCGACGGCTATAACTTTATTCCCCGCAAGGTGCTGCCACGACTTCTGGAACTGGGCGCTACTGATGCCGATATTAATCAGCTGACGGTGGTGAATCCAAGAAAGTTCTTTGTTGGAGAGTAAAAGCCTTCTTGGAAGACTGAACTCGACCTGAACAGCCGTGGGCAAAAAAAGTAGGGCGAGCATTAAGCTCGCCCTGAAAAAAATAGAAGAAAAGTATGATTCCTGTTAAATATCGGTATTGCTATTCCGTGTCTCCCGCAGCTACACAAAGGACTACATGAGATGGCCGACCCCGGTCGTGATATACAGTGTTGTCGGCGACGATAAGTATGGGAGACAAAGCAGGGTTTTCTCCGGTATTGCCGTTCACATCCAGCCGCGGGAAGTTGCTGGAGGAAATGTCTAACCTTATCCGATGACCCTGGGCAAACAGATTGCTTGTGGGATACAACTCAATGGTTAGGGGGTAGACCTGTCCGGGTTCCATTAGTCGAGGGTCACTCCAGGAGGTGCGGAACTTGGCTCGCAAGACGCCGTCGGTCAGGTTTAATGCATAGCCTTCCGGATAGTCCCGACAAGGGGGGTAGACGTCTATGAGCTTCGCTGTGAAGTCAGTGTCGACGGCGGTGGATGATATCCATAGGTGAACTACCACCGGCCCCGTAACTTCCAGGCTCTCTGCCAGGGGTTCCGTTTGAAATACCAGCACATCAGGACGGGAAGCCAGTGACAAATATGGTGCCTTACTGCCAAAGAACTCCTCAGATTCTCTCTGGTCAAATCCTCCAGGTTCCATAATGGGGAGGCCAGAAGAGATATTTCCGCCCACGGTGGGTACCGGGTCCAGGGGATCGAAACGGTATTTGCTTGGCTGCGCCTCCATTTGGGGTAGAGCGATGGATAGCCTCCCGCCCTGATGGAGATAGAAGGCGGTTTCTTTCACTCGGTCCGGAGGCCAACTGGTTTCTTCCACCCATCTTCCCCCGTGGTCGAGTCTTCCTTCCGGATTCCTGCGTCCACTGCCTCCTCCCATGACGAACAGCTTTACTAGCGGTCGCTTGTCCCAGTCATTGGTTTCTCCCTTCATCCATCGGTCAAAGAAAGTGAGCCTCTGCTGGTTGAAGCTGCCGTCCTTGGGATTGTCCAGGGTTGAATGGGGACCGAAGTCCACATTTCCTGCATAAGTGACTGAACGGGACCCGTGGGTCCAAGGGCCCATTATCAGCGACACCTGGCTGGATTTGCCCTGGGACAGCGCCAGGTAATTCTGTACCGTTCCTGCAGCGTAGGGATCGTACCAACTGCATTGGTGCACCTGGGGCACATCGGAAAAAGGACCGTAATGCGCCGACGCGCACAGGCCTACCTGCTGCCAATACTCGTCGAAAGTATCGTGGCCCCAAATCTCGAAGAGATAATTCTCGTAGTCAGGCGTCCAGCTGAGCGGCGAGTGTCCTTTCTTCCAGGGAAACCGTGCGAACCAGTCGTGAATATCCTGACGGGACATGGCTGCCCTGGTTGTATCTGGGTTGTCCCTTGCTTCGGGGCTTTCCAGGGCCTCCCGAAACGCCCAGGTCACCTGCCTCAACTCGAAGGCCCCACCATTTCGACACCCGCTGTGAAAGGCGCTGGCGAATCCGCCGCATTCCAGCCACATGGCGGCCAGGTGTGGCGGGTTCAAGCAGGCCAGGGCGGCCTGGGTATGAGCAGCGTAGGAAAGGCCAAAGGTGCCGATTTTTCCGTTGCACCAAGGTTGTTGTGCCAGCCATTCCACCGTATCGTAGCCGTCCTGACCTTCATCGACATACTTGGTGAAACCACCTTCCGATTCATATCTTCCCCGGCAATCCTGGATTACTGTGACGTAGCCGCTGTTAGTGAAAAAGGCTGCTTCTTCCATCCGGGTAGGTGCGGATCTGTCGTAGGGAGTACGTTGCAATAACACCGGTAAAGGCTCTTCGACCACCTTACCGTCAAGTTGGGGTCGATGTATGTCAGTTGCCAGATTCATTCCGTCTCGTGTGGGTACCATCGCGTTTTCTATGAAATGATTATTGCTTTTGCGCCTATTGACGCGTCCTCTTACCCTCGGGCTCATCTCTCCTCCTTATTGAGATTACGGAAAAATAAAAATACAACGGGAGTGTAGCACTGCGAGGCAGGGCGCCTCAGCTATAAACAAATACGGATTTTCTTGACAATTGGCAAACCCGATACTAGACTTCCCTGAACTGGCCTGACTCCCCAGATAGCCTAGAAACATAGTGTGCATGCCATAGCAATTATTGCTAATATTCGGCGGAATTCGTACGTAAAGATAGTATATTCGACAGTAACTTCATTTGGGGATTAGGGCGATTAAAGCCAAGGAGTGAGAACGATGACCTTGTCCGGAATCTATGCGCCTCGTTGGTTGATCTACAGTGTTATTTCTATCGGTTTATTGGCCTTGGTTGCTTGTGGCGCGTCGGCGCCGGAACAGGCGCCTTCCCAGCCGTCAAGTAGCGCTGCGCCCGCTGCCCAACCGGCAGCTCCTTCCCAACCTTCCGCTCCGGCCGCTGCTGCCGATCCGGTAGCCCCCGCGCAGCCGGCCGAGCCTGAACCTCAGGCCACGGTCAGCGCCGTAGTCGGACAGGGAGCGATTGGAGTTGGAGCCAAAGCCCCTACGGCGACGCCTGGACCCACCTCTGCGCCTGTTGAAGTAATGATGGAGGCGGAGCCGGCAGTAACGGAGTTACAAGTTTCTCGTGGGCCAACCACGAGAGATCTGGCTGACCCCGTTGCGGGCAGGGGTGACTTGCCAGTGATTCTGCCCATGTTTGAGGGCCTCGTTCAATTTGACCAGTACACCGATTCTGTGCCTATGCTTGCTCCCGACTGGTCTGCCAATGACGACTTCACCGTGTGGACCTTCAACCTCAAGGAAGGCGTAGAGTTCCACAAGGGCTGGGGACCGATGACAGCCAAGGACATCGGCCATACCATGTTGCAGGAAAGGCGCAACGACCACTTTGACGGTCGGGCTTCGACGTGGCGCGATCTCCTTAAAGAGGTAGTGATGCCCGACGGGCCGGATGGTCTCGTAGTTGAGCTTCACCTGAACAAGCCAGAACCGATCATGACCACCTACATGAGCACCAACTACACCACGGTGATCCGCAGCAAGAACCACTGGGATGAGAACGGTGGTGTGATGACCGGCTTTGACGCCAATGACGCCGGCATCCAGCTCATGGCCAACGATCCCATTGGGACCGGCCCGTACCAGTTTGCGGAACATGCAGAAGCCCAATACCTCAGGTACGATGCTCCCGCGGCGACCCACTGGCGCAAGACGCCGGACTTCCCCGAGCTTCAGATTTACTTCGTCTCCGAGCCTTCCACCCAGTTGGCCCAGTTGGTGACCGGCGAAGTTCACGCTGCTGAGATTCCTCGTGACCTGCAGGTGGGAGCTTTGTCGCGTGGCATGGAAATCGTGCTTGGTACTACTCCGGCTATTCGCCTAGTTGGATTCTTCGGCGGCAACTACCTGCCTGATCACCCCAATTTTGATGCCACCGAGCCTATGACTATGCCCTTGGTTCGCGAAGCTATGAACCGGGCCATCGACCGGGAAGAAATTAACGATGTTTTCTTCAATGGCAATGGTGAACTGATGATGCAGACCCATTCCCATGAGAAGTTCCCCGGCTGGCAGCCCTCCTGGCTGGATAGTTTTGAAACTGACTACGGCTATGATCCGGAAAAGGCCAAAGCCTTGCTGGCCGAGGCCGGGTTTCCCGACGGATTCGAGATTGGCCAGCTTTCCTATCCCAGGCCTGGACTTCCCGAAATGCTCGATATAGGTGAGCTAGTAGCAGACTACTGGCGTAACATCGGCATCGATGTGGAGTTCCAGCCCGTAGAGACTGCGGTTTATAGCTCTCAGCTGAGGGCCAAGGAAATTAACAACACAGCCTGGCTACATACCGGCAGCTTTACCGAGCCAACCCGGGCCATCTTTGTTTACCATTACAGCGGCGCCGTGAGCCCCCGCTATGAATCTCCCTTCTTTACCGAGAAATATGAGGCCTTGGAAGTTGCATCGACTTTAGAAGAACGGGACAACCTCATTCGGGAGATGGGCGAGAACTGTTATGAGATTTACTGCTCCATTCCGTTGTACTGGGTGCCCTTCGAGTTCATGATTAACCCGGAGATCATCGAGGAGTGGCTTACCCCCGGTGTGTTCGGTGTCCGGGACTTCGAGTACGTTAAGGCCGTCAAGTAAGCAGACCGGAATTGACGTACTTGGGTACTGCCCTGGTATCATCGTAGTCCTGTCTATCCAATCGGGACGCTCCGCAATTGGGGAGTTCTGATTGGATAGTTTATTAGGAAGTTTAATATTCTAAGCAAACGCAACTCTCCCCTGTGCCCCCGCAGCACCCGCCCAAACCACCCCGCCACCCAAAAACACGCCCCCTCCCGCCCCCGCTACCCCCTCCCATTCCCCACCGGCCGCCCCCGAAAAAAACTCACCCCCACCCCCCCACTTGCCACCTGAACCCCCCCCTTGACCAACCCTGCCCCCCTTCTTCAACAAAACACCTGGCCCGCCCCGCCGCAGTCAAAAGCCCCTAGCGCGCACCATAAAACTACACTAACCCCGCAAACAATCCGCACCCCCAAGAGAAAAAAAAGGCCGACCAGTACATCACCTGACACCCCACCCCCTCTCCACCAACCTCACCACCCTATGCCTATCCACCCCCCCCCCCCCCTGCCAAACCCCCCCCCACTGACCTCCCACACAACACGCCCCCCCCCACTGAAAACCAAAAACCCACCCCACCAACCCCCCCACCCCCGTGCCTCCGAACCCGGCCCAAAACAGGCGGCACGGGCCCACCCAACCCCCGGAAGCCGGCCAACACCCCGCCACCCCCCCCCCACCCGCAACCCCCCCCCACGAACCCCGTGAAAACCCCCTACCCCACGGCCCCCCGCGTCGCCCCACACCACCCACGACACAACGCCCTCCCCCCCCTGACCCTCCCTCCCCACACTCACCCCCGCCCCCTCAACCCCAACCCCCTCCCCCTCCTCAAAAATGACCCTGCCTGCCCCCCCCACCTCGA